AGACCTGGGGCACTGACTGCCTCTCCCAGCCTGTGTCCCTGTCTGTCCATCCCCTGGGTGTGTGGCCACCACACGTCCCACAGTTGTGAGGTTAGGGGTGAGGAGTCCAGCACCCAGCTCGAGCCTGGGGCACAGGAAAAGCTCCGCCAAGTGGGGCCGAGCTCCACTCCCAAAGCCAACGCTGCATTTCCTCCACTGCATCTGCCCCCAAGGACTGACCGGGCACCTGAAGGTTCTGATCGGGGCCTCGGTGGGCTTCGTCCTGCTGCTGCTCCTCCTCCTCCTCTTCCTCCTACACCGGCATCAGGGCCAAAGCAGGGAAGCAGGTGAGTAGGGAGAGGGTGGCCTGGGCTCAGGAGGTTGTGGGTCCCCATGGTACAGGTGAGACTGGGCTCTGGGCATGGGGTGAAATCCCGGTGGAGGGGGACTGGTGAGCTTAGACCCCGCTCTGCAGAATGTAAAATCCAGCACAGAACACACGGCCCCGTCCTGTAGGGGTCTCTGGTGTGGTCTGAGCTTCTCCACCTCAGGCCACATCGGCTCCCTGGTCCCTGTGGTCCGAGGCTTCCTCCTGCCCTGTGTGTTCCGTGGACAGGGTGGTTCTGACCTCCTGGCTGAGGCTCTGTCCATCTCCCAGCCCAGAGGCCGGCACCCAGGAACAGAGGCCTGCAGAAGACCTCACTCCTGCCCGAGGACCCAGCCTCCCTGCCTGCCGCCCCTCACGGCCACCTGACACCTCCTTGTGTGCCCAGCTCCAGCCCAGCAGCCGCCCAGGAAGGAAACCTCTGTAAGAGAAAGAGGGGCTGGGGTGGGAGATGCCCCGAGGTGTCAGCATCACAGGGACGGGGGAGGCTGGGGCTCAGGGCTGAGTCAAACTGAGCCCCTATAATGGGCCTGGGGCATCACACAGCTTCCTGGATCCGTGTCCCCAGCTGGACAGCACAGGTGGGGCTGAGGGACCCCAAGGACTGTGGCCAGGAGGTGACCCCTCTTCTGTCCCTGCAGATGCCACCGTGAAGGACACAGAGCCTGAGGACGGGGTGGAGCTGGACACTCGGGTGAGACCCCCCCATCCAGGGCACAAACTTCCTGTCCCCCAGTTCAGTCCAGGGCGCTGCTCTGTCCTCCACCACTCAGCTCTCGGGGACCTCACAGCTGCGCCTCCCTTCTGGAAGCCCCGGCCTCCGCCTGCTGTGACCCCACCCTCTGCTGGTTTCCTGTGATCTCGGGTCCCCTCCCTCTGTCCCCTTCCTGGCCCTCAGCCTCAGTCTGGCTGTTCCCTGCCCCGGCCTCAGAAGGACCCTCAGTGAATGAGCACCCCACACCCCCGAGGCCCCTCCCTCGTTCATGCAGCGTTCGCGGGGGCGGAGGGAAGGTTTGTCTCCCTCCTGACCCGGCTCCATGGGGGCTGCAGATACAGGGGTGAGCACAGACCCTCCTGCCCTGAGTCACCTCAAGGTGGGAGCCCAGTGTCAGGAGAGCACAGAGCTGGGAAAGAAAATGAAGCAAAGAAAAGGGCTGGGGGTTTAGCTCAGTGGCACAGCGCTTGCCTGGCAAGTGCAAGGTCGTGAGTTCGATTCCCAGTACTGGAAAAAACAAAACAAAACAAACAAACAAACAAAGAAAATAAAGCAGAGAAAAGGGTGGAGGGGAAGGAGGACCAGTGAGAATCACAGGTGGGACTCTGATAAGGTGACCACTGAGCAGAAGCCTGCATGGAGAGGGCTGTGGGGACCTCTAATGAACCAGCACAGCAGGTAGAGCATAGGACAAGTGCAAAGATCCTGAGGCAGGGATGGGCTCCTTCAGGAAGATGGGCCGTGTGGCTGGAGCCCAGGGGGCAGGGTCCAAGTGTCAGGACGCGAGGGCAGCACTGCAGGAAGGAAGCGGCTGGACCCTCCAAGGCCTTAGGAAGCCCCTGAAGGTCCATGAGGAAGGGACAGAGTGTGATCTAATTTCTAAAGGATCCCTGTGGCCGCCCTGTGGGAAACTGGCTGGAGGAGGCCAGCGTGGAACCAAGGAGACCCCGTCTGTGTCTCTGTCTCCCTGCTGCAGAGCCCACCTGCTGAGGACCCCCGAGGAATGATGTATGCCCAGGTGAAGCACTCAGCACCCAGGAGGAGAAGGACCTCCCCTCCTTTGGCCCTGTCAGGGCAGCTCCTGGTCACTAAGGACAGACAGGTACGGGAGGGCAGGCCAATGGATGCTCAGGCGAGTCCTGTGCCCCTTGGCCCCAGGCTTCCCCTGTGCCAAGTACAATCCTCCCCTCTCCCCACCTCACCTGCAGGCTGTGGCCCCTCAGAGTCCCCAGGACGTGACCTATGCCCAGCTGGGCAGCTGGACGCTCAGACAGGGGGCAGCTGCACCTCCTTCCTCCCAGGATGGGGCCCTCCCAGCAGAGCCCACTGTGTACGCTGCCCTGGCACCCACTCGCCCAGGAGCCGGTCAAAAGACGCTAAGTGACGCCTCGGCCAGGGACACCTGACAGAGACTCCAGAGATTCCGGGACCTTCTGAGACTCACCTGACCCTGTGGTCAGAGAGATCTCACACCTCTGTGTGCTGGAACTAAAACCAGAGATTCTCCAATAGCCACCGAGTGAATGAGAAATGGAATCATGGGAGAGGAGGTGTGAAATGACTGATAACGTTAATGACAGCAGACAGCAAAATACTCTCTATAACTCAATGAATCCAGCTATGATGTAAAAACTTTTAGAAAAAGAATGTGGAATTGCTCTAAGTAAAGGTAAAGATAAAAGATTAGCTCCCCCCTGGGGAGAGTTGGCACATATTTCAACATAGAGAAAGAGCAGATAGCATGACACGTTACCTACGTTTTAAAAGAATAATAGCGAAAAATTATGAGCAACTTTTCCAACATATTAGAAGTACAAGATCTCCAAGTACATGATGGACTACATGGAGGTAAATATAAATAGAAAATCTGAATCCTTTCATGTACACTAAACCTATTGACAGTAATTTAAAAATCTCAAGCCAGGCGTGGTGGCTCACGGCTGTAATCTCAGAACTCAGGAGGCTGAGGCAGGAGGATCATTGCAAATTCAAGACCAGCCTGGGCTACAAAGTGAGTTCAAGGCCAGCCTGAACTGCATAGTGGGACCCAGTCTCAAAAACACACACACAAAAAAAATCCTAGTTCAAGTTGTAGTTCAGAAAGTGTTGCTAGAAATTTCTCACCCACATTTACACAATTATGACACAGGCACAGTTCCAAGCTTAGAGGCTCTTCTGGCAGCTACAAAAAGAGAAAATATAGTCCTACACATTTCATCAGGCAAGGAAATCCCTCATGCCAAACCTCAACAAGGAATCCACAAAATGGGGGAGTCACAGGAATCGTGTCTCCTGTCCACTTACATGTGACTTCCTAGAAAGAATTCAAATTCCAGCCACTTGGGAGGCTGAGGCAAGAGGATCTCAAGTCTGATGCCAGCCTGGGCTGCACGGTGAGATGTTGTCTCAGAATAAAATAAAAGCCCTGGGAATGTGGCTCAGTGTCATTCCCTTAGTTCAAACACCAGCGCTACAAAAAAAATTTTTGAAGGTTTAGAGATACAGTAAGACCCCAACTTACAAGTGAGTTCCATTCTGGGAGAATGTTTGTAAATTGGATTCTCTGTCATCTGACAAAGAGTGTCTTACACGGTACACTGTGAAAGTTTCCAAGTGGAATGTTCCTAAGTCAGGGAGTTAGTGCATATAAAAAGGCAATATATCACTGCCGCACTAGGATTCTTCTTGTTTGGTTTGGCTTGGTTTGGTTTGGTTTGGTTAGAAAGGCTAGAGTAGCTGCAAATGTAAATATTTAATCAACACAATCAAACACAGTACCAGATCACGTCGGTGTTACCACATCCATGCATGCAGGCAAGGCTTCCCGCACGCTACGCCGATCCCTCACAGTCAAAGTAAAACCTCATGAGAACTTGAAGGAATTTCCTGTCATTACAGAGGCATGTTTAAAGTCTCCCTGACCAGCATCTTCAAGGTGAGACTTGAAGTCTGAGCCTGGGCTTAGGACCAAGCCAAGGCTGCTCCTGTGACCACTGCCCCTGGCACAGCCCCAGCAGTAGCAGCGTTAGGTAAACCGAGCTGAGGAGCACTGATGTGGCAAGAGTAACGTCGCATCACTCACCTAAGACACAGCAGTGAGCACAGGACCCCCAGCAGCACAAGGATGCTTTACTGCGGCTAGAAGGGAATATTTCCAATAAAAGTGGAGCCCACGGCCAATATACAAAAATCAATTGTGCTGCAGACTTGCAGGTCCTTTTACATCTCAATTATTTCACTTTTTATTTGCATATATTTATTTTATTTTATTTTACAGAAGAAAACAAAATTTCATAACCAAATAAGAGAATAACACTAATTAGTGCACAGTGTTTCATAATCTTAAGGGTAGTTAGAGTACATGACATGGACAGGAAAGACTCTTACAAGGAAAAATAAATAATAATTGTTTCATGCTGTTTGTATTACTATTATTTTTCAATAGAACTTCAAATCTGAGACTGTGATGTCTCCTGCTTTGCTCTTGTCATCCAGAATTGATTTTGCCATTCAGGGTCATTCCTGACTCCATATGAAATTTAACATTATTTTATCTAGTTCTATCAACAACTCTGTTGTAATTTTAATGGGATTGTGTTAGATCTGTGTGTCAGTTTTGTAAATATGGCTATTTTGGGTTTTGTTTTGTTTTGGTTTGGTTTGGTTTGGTTTGGTTTTTTTTTTCCGGTACTGGGAATCAAACTCACAACTTTGTGCTTGCCAGGCAGGCGCTGTGCTACTGAGCTAAATCCTCAGCCCCAGTATGGCTATTTTGAAACTCCTGGTTCTGCCTGCCCAGGAGAAGGGGATATCTTTCTAATTTCTGATCTTCCCTTTGAATTCCTTTTTCAGAGTTCTATAGTATTCATTATAGAAGCCTTTCCCTTCCTGGTTTAGATTAATTCCTGGTGTTCTGTAAGCCATGGAAAATGAGAAGGGAGAGATTAAAGTGAGATGAAGGATGCTATGAAGCAGTCAAAGGAAATTGATATTATTAGACAAAAGTAAAAAAAAAAAAAAAACTAAAAGAAGAGAAGGAACACAAAGCAAAAATAAAGAAAAAAATAAAAATAAGAGGGAAAAAAAAAATAAAAATAAGAGGGAAAAAAATTAAAGAAACAAAGCAAGAATGGAAAAAACACAAAACCCCAAAAAATTAATGAAGAAAAAATGAATCCAAAAAATTTTCTCGGTATTTTTCAACAAGTGATTTCTTTCTAGAATGTGCCATCCTGGAATCCACAAGTCATGGTTTTCTCCACTCAGGTATTCGGCGTGTGGTTTTCTGAGGTGCAGCCCCTGTTTCAGGGGCCACTCTGTCCATGCACCCTAGACTGTGGCAACCAGCCAATCCAAGGCAGGTCCTTTGTCCAGTTGGTAGACAGGTGATATACTCTTTTGTTTGTTTGTTTGTTTTTTATTTCTCTTCCAGTACCAGGAATCGAGCTCACAACCTTGCGCTTGCCAGGCAGGTGCTGTGCCCCTGAGCTAAATCCCCAGCCCTAGTTGGTAGATAGGAAATCAATCAGACCTCTGATCTCCGCTGTATGTAGGCAGCGTGGTCTGGGTTCAAGCAGACTGCTGGACTTAATGCCAGCACTTTCAGACTCAGCCACCATTGAAAGCCAGATATTCCTGGCCAGGCTTCTACTGCAGGGATTGGGTCCTCATGTCCTAGCTAGCTTGAGCTTAAACTTCCCAGGGGGTCTATGCCTCACCCGCACCCTCCTCATGACTGTCCCCCATGGCTCTCTCATCCAGACACTGTGGTAGGGTAACGCTAGAAACCCTGAAGTGATGTTAATCTGTAGTTGTTTTGTGGTTCAGGCTTAAACAATTTACCCCTTCCAAAAATGGTGCCCAATGAAACCCTCTCATGTATGTCAGCTGCTCTGTGTGATTTCTTCTCCAAATGTAGACGGCCACGCAGATGGAGTCACTTTGTGGTTAAACTGCATGCTGTTTTCTGCAGTTTACAGTAGCCTTGGGCTTTCCTTGGAGCTAGTGCTGTTGACCCAGTCTGTCCGCGCTGGAACCGCCAACACTCTGGGCTTACGTCCTCTGCCTTGGTGTTGGATTTGTCCATGACCACATTGGTCAGTGCTTCTGCTGCCCTATGCTGAGGTGAAGCAAAACAGAGCTGGCCAGTGGTTGATTATGGGTCTGCACAAGTGTTTTAGTTTGGCTTTAAATTTATTAGTTTGGCTCACAGGTTCAGAGGCAGGATGTCACTCTGGAGAGGTGGAGGATGCAGTGGCTGCTCCACTGAAGATGTTGGAAACAGCAAGAGGAATCAAGGGTGAAGCCGCAGTCTAAGACAAAGGGTGCAGAAACCTCCTGGTAAGTCCTGGGTTGAGTCTGCACTGGAAAGCTGAAGTAACTGGAGCATGACGTTTGCAGTGGACACAATAAAAATGCACCCTGAAGCCAGGTGTTGGGCTACACACCTGTTATCCCAGGACTGGGGAGGCTGAAGCAGAAGGATCAGCCCAAATTCAAAACCAGCCTAGCCTAGGGAGTTAGTTCAAGGCCAGCCTGAAACATATAGTGAGACATTGTCTCAAAAAAAAAAAAAAGCCAGGTATGGTGGCGCACACCTGTAATCCCAGCACTCGGGAGGCTGAGGCAGGAGGATCATTGTGAGTTCGAGACCAGCCTGGGCTACAAAGTGAGCTCAAGGCCAGCCT